AAAAGTAATCCGTTTTGTAGACGGCAGTTTGATGAGAAGACCGACAGGATGTTGTGATGTTGAGTGAATTGAAAATTCTATTACTGCAGTTTCTAATGTTTCATTATCTTTTTACAAATGAGGATATAAGAAGGCAGCATAAACTAGTTTTATTTAAAACTCATCACACAACACACAGTGTATAGGCATACTCCTCTAGATAGAAAACTTGGTACACTATAATTTACATTATGAGAATGGTTACATGCATTAGTAATCCAAACATTCACCAACACAAATATGGAAAACAATCCAATTTACTTTTTTTTTTTTCTACTTTTATTTGCTTGTTAGTTTTTATTTTCCTGTGTGTATTTTTATTCTCACTTTAATTGTTTGTTTGTCTTTATTCACATCTGTATTGCATTTTAGTCAGAATCCTAATAGGGATACAAACGCAATAAAGATAGTTATTAATATCAGTCAAGATTTTCACTTATAATTGCACATACTCCCTACCCTGTTATCATGTATTCTACATGGACATATTTACCTGTGTCCAGAACTCATCCATTTAGTCTCCTTAGAACCAGATGACCCTTGTCCGTATCGGTCAAGAAACATGCAGTAACTGACAGTTCCATTGGGATTGGTTGGAACTTTAGCCATAACTGCTTCAAACTGGTCTGCTGTGAATGGCATTACAAACATTTCTAGAACTCTGCGTAGTTCACCCTTGGTGATGGTCAGGCTTTGATCTATGTCATAATTCTGGAATGCCTAGTTAAAAAAATAAATAAATAAATATGCAATGAATAGACGACTTTCCATTGAACTGTGAGAACTTATGTATTGCGTGAAAGGTGTGGACGTCTGACGCAAAAAACGAATGACTTGATTTTGAACTTGAATTGTTTTTTTTTTTATATCTCAAAGTCAAAAGGCCGATTTTTGTCAGGGAAATATTGCATTTATATACCTTTACTTCATCAAAATAGATCATCATCGAATGTGTACAGCACATTATTGAGAACGAAAATACCCTAAAAATACTTTCTCGGTTGCCGAATCTCTAGTGATGTTTGACGTCACAATGTTTCAATGTTATTTTGATTTATTTCTCATACTTTCTCAGACTTTGTGAAAATGACAACAGTTGTGATAGGGTTATAAAAAACATGTTGTTAAACATATCACATTTCCTGCCATGGTGACAGTGAACAGTAAATAAAAGAAGACACAGTGATTATAAAATTGATTGGCTACTTTATAATGAAAAGTACACTCACTTTAACAAAAAATATACCTTCAATTTTATAACATTTCTAATCTTCAAAATTACTTACTGTGACCTATTGCAATAAAGAATTTGTGGTTGTGTTTTGGTTTTCTCCATTCTTACAATAGCATTGTAATCACAAATTACAATTTGCAAAAAAATAAACAAGAAGATTACATTTCAATCAAGGTATGTTTGTTTGTATAATAATTACTCACCTGTTTAAGGTCATAATAGTTGGACTGTATTTTATCTCTTAACATTTGTTCCAGTTCAATGATGCTTAGACTAGCATTGGCAGTGTAGGTACTTAGTGAGGATGGCAAAGAAGCTGAAAGTAAAATACATTTATTGACAAATAACTGAACAAGTTGTAATCCATATTATACATGAACTTTATAATTACACCAGATCTTGAGACTGTAGCTACAATTTAAACATTGGTTATTGTCCATTTATAGAATTTTAAATATTCAAACCAAAAAGATTGCCTAGATGTTCTACCAGTTTGTATCTTTGTGCCCTATAATAATATAGATATTCCAGAAATTTTATCAAATTTGGTCTTGATTTTCTCTGAGCTTGAACCTAAACCCGTAATACATACATCAAGTGAGTGGTGGACTACTTGACATACTTAAATAAACAAATTAATTAAATTTATGCCACTATAATATTCCCATTACAATCCATGTCAGAGTGATTTATAGCCTCACAATGGATTGGTGCATACATTATAAAGTTATATTTAAATTTCATGAAATTATATCAATATGCTTCTTTGCAGTTTCAATACTTTTTGGAAAAATTTATTTTTAATTTATTGTAATACTTTACAATTAAATGTAGTGGATCAACCTGACTGGTAGCAATGAGTAGACATCCTAATTAGTGCTTAAAACATTTACAGCATTGATAACAATATATACACACTTAGAACCCAAGGTTTTCAATAGTTTGAACTATAAAAAGTACATTTTATCTCTCAATATCAACATAACAGAGTCCAGAAAGAACATTCATGGTTGAATTGTTAATATTGCTGTTAACTCTTCTAAATTACAAAAACATTTATTTTTTTCATCATGAATTCCATTGAACACAATTTAGAAATAAGTAGACTACTACATTTAAAGACTACTTGACATTTAGACATTTAATATGACTGACGGATGGACAGACATTTGATATGACTGACGGATGGACAGACATTTAATATGACTGACGGATGGACAGACATTTAATATGACTGACGGATGGACAGACATTTAATATGACTGACGGATGGACAGACATTTAATATGACTGACGGATGGACAGACATTTGATATGACTGACGGATGGACAGACATTTAATATGACTGACGGATGGACAGACATTTAATATGACTGACGGATGGACAGACATTTAATATGACTGACGGATGGACAGACATTTAATATGACTGACGGATGGACAGACATGACGGATGGACAGACATTTAATATGACTGACGGATGGACAGACATTTAATATGACTGACGGATGGACAGACATTTAATATGACTGACGGATGGACAGACATTTAATATGACTGACGGATGGACAGACATTTAATATGACTGACGGATGGACAGACATTTAATATGACTGACGGATGGACAGACATTTAATATGACTGACGGATGGACAGACATTTGATATGACTGACTGATGGACAGACATTTAATATGACTGACGG